CCTACACCCAGTGAAATGAACTACATCGACCTCTGATGAGCATATAAACTACCCAATAAGATCCCTTCATGCACAGGAAAACTAAATCCCCCATTGTTAGGGATTTTATCAATATGTTTATCAATAAACCCATTTCCTGTGGTGAAGAGAGAAGGAGACAATGAGCAGACAAGCCAACCAGTTATAACTGTGGCACATGCATGAGGCAAAATGCCCCGAACATCTGATCACAGAGTTTACTTAAACAAATAGATAAGAATGGAAGTGAGGCCATTGTGTGAGAGAATGTGTGTGTGTGGGAACAACAGTGTGTGGGTGTGTCTGAGTGTGAGATTGCTTCAGGACATTTGTGAATAAGATTAAAGCAATGGAATATAAAATTTCCATAACACCCAAACAAATACATTTTTAGAAAACAATTACAGTGAACATTTTGGAACTCTGTTCCACAGGGTTACATAATCTAGAGTTAGCACCTTTCAGAGATGTAGTTAGGGTCACCCAACACGCTATCTAGGGTCAAAGGGCTGATCAGAGATAAGTCACACATGAAGCTTCAGATGCTTTATTAGCAATCATCACTTTATGGTGAAACATTGCTGCATAGAAAGAGTTACATGAGGCTGTTCCTGATTCTGCTTGTAGTCTAGAAGATGTGAGAGCAGGTGTGAAAGTCTAGGTGTTGTAGTTCTAGAAGCAGCTGTAATAATAATAATAATAATAATGCATTAAACTTATATAGCACTTTTCTAGACACCCAAAGACGCTTTCACACACTCTCACATTCACACACTGCTAGTGATGGTTACTTGTAGCCAGGGCCGGAGTGGGACACATTTTCAGCCCTGGAGTTTCAGACCCCAGACCGGCCCACTTAACGAATTATTATTAAAATCATGTTAGAACTTTATATGTATAGTCTACAAAAGCACACTACTCGGTAAAGCCTTGTAATTGTAAAGCAAGAACGAGTTGAGTTGCTTCACAAGAAAGAGCAACTCTTTCTTGTAAAGCAAGAAAGAGTTGCTTTACAATGTAGGTTTATTTGAACATCAGTGCACATCTCCAACATTGTTCTTTACAACACTTTCTCTAACAATATAACAATCTACATTCTGTTCAAACAGCTGTTCTGAGATTTTCAAACCTTTAAAATGAAATGACTCAGCACTCCCTTTCACACTTTTTCCAGTTTCCCTAGACTCACCTGCACACAATTAAAACAATCATCTGGAAAGCTTTAGCACATTTGATATGGAAAACACATCTTTGTAACCAATTAAAATATTTTCTATGGCAAAATATGCAGGCTTATTTAATTTTACTTTCATTCTAATAGCGATCTGTTGTGGGCTTTGTGCATTTACTAACAGAAATACATCAGGTCACTACTATTATTTGGACATTAAAATTATTATAATGAAACTGATGTTTGCTTGTTTGCACATGAGTTGGCTCACCTTCTATCCCAACAGGAGCAATACCCTCACTGCTGGCTCCTGGCTCTTCTTCTGACACTACATTGTGTGAAAATTGTCACAATTCAGCATTCATTTTCCTTTTTTACACGCTTTCTGATCAATGCTGAATCATCTAGCATTTTAGAACACTTTCATATAGAGCCAGGATAGTTTTCATCATATAAATTTTAATAATATTCAGTTCACTGACTCAATAAGTAATCCTACCTGTACATGCCCGCTCTGGAATTGTGGGTTTCTGCCTGGTGCTTATTAGGCCTACTGGATCTTGTGTTTGACTATGACAAGACAGTTTGTGGCATCAGTCACATCATACTGTAAATTATATTACATAACGTTATGTCATGATGCCATATAATTCATTATTGATGCTTAATTAACTTGAATGGTGATTTGCAGCCGGTAAAGTTTAACATCTTGACTTGCCTTACCCGTTTTATCTTCATTTGAAGTTAAAGACCGCGAGCTTGTTTGAGAAAAAAAGGTGCTCATTTTTGCACATTTAGCTGCATCCAGGGCCAGATTAACACTTTGTTGTACCCTGGGCAACAATATTCAAGGGCCCCATCATCACGACCCAAGGATCACCATAATATGGTCACATACAGAATATTTTACTGTAATATGCAAAAAATAAGTTGTCCCACACTCCATGGAAACTTTCAGAGAATCCACAAATAGTGGCTTTCAAATAGTTTTGTTACTTTTGCAAGTTTAGAAAAGAAGCAGATGAGACAGCATGTCTGATAATTTAGTTTTTCATCTGATAATATTAGAACATGTCAGTAATGTCTGAGGAGCTTTTATAAACACTGTATAACTAACAATACTGGAGAGGGTAACAATTACACAGAGGCTTCTGGGGAGCCCAGTTATGGGGGTGGGTGGGGGGGGGGGGGTCATTTTGCCTTGGCCCCCAAAATGTCTTGAAACGGCCCTGGGTGTGTGACTGAGTTTTGAAGGTGATTTGAATTGTATCAGATGTGTAAATATGACATGTGTGTAACTTATTGTTTTATACAGGTAAAAACATGTAGTGGAGATAAATCTGCCTACACTTTACTTTTCCACACTTAGTTTTGTTTTCTTGTTTTTATTTAACTATTTTCCTGTCCTGTCTGTCTCTCATCTTCCTGCGTCTCCTCTAAACTCTCCAGAAAAAACTGCTGCCAGGATTCTTACTTTTTCACCTCATCAGTTACTTTTGAGCAGATCAAATGGATCTCCTGACCGCAAAGAGGAGTGCGCCTTTCGATGCTGCGTCAGTGAGGTGAAATCACCGCAGCACCGCGCAGCACAGGTGACCCCGGGTTTCCACGGGAGCCGCCAGCAGCACGTTACTGCAGCAGCACGTCTTGCTCGCGTAAGCTGCTGCTTGGCCCTTCCCACGAGACGCAAAGCTGCAGGAGAGCAGCTGTCACCGACAGAGCACGAATTCACACGAGTGACTTCGTCAGTAAACACAACAACAAGCAGGAGAAAACTACAACATGGTTTGTGTTTTATGTTCTGTCCGTTTTATAATCGCCAATACGGACCTGAAAAACAAAGGAGACCGCTAGCTAGGTGATAACTTCTCACGGGGACGCACAGTTAGTAACTTTTTTTAAAAGTAAAGCAACCGGAAGGCAGCACGTTCTTTATTCTGAAAATCTCGGGAGCTTCGCTCCGTTTCCGCATCCAATTTCCTGTCTTTCCTTCCCCAAAAATGTCGAACTTGACCCGTTTCAGAGGCGTCGCGCGTAGAAAATAGAACCGGCGCGTAATGGCCGCGACATGCTGCTCCTGAGACGCGGCCGACTCGCGCTGCTGACGGCTGCCGGCGGCTCCAGTGGAAAAGGTTCTGTTGACCACAGCGGTTCCTATCAGCAGCTATGACGTGCTGCTGCAGTAACGTGCTGCTGACGGCTCCCGTGGAAAGCCGGGGTGATGAGCTGCGCAGCAGCAGAGCGCTTCAGGCACAAATAAGACAGAAAATAGAGAATATGTGCGGACATGAACGATCGTGTGCTAATTATAGTTTTTTGGTTGCGCCACTTTGAGAATGGACCGTGCGCTGGAAGCAGCTGCCTGGAGCGCTGCGCAAGAACGCGCTGTGCCGCTCTCTGTGCTCTCTGCTCAGAAGAGTCCATAAATGATGTAATATAGATAGAAAACTTGTTTCCGGCTCCCCGGATGTGTAAGATATACAGCTCCCCCATAATTCGATCCCTGCTCCTGGATGAAAAGCCGGACATTTTCATCAATACGACCGCGGACCCCCAGTCCGGACGCCCGGACAGAGAGTGAAAAGTGGACATGTCCGGGGAAAACCGGACATACGGTCACCCTAGTTTAATATAATGCGGGAGATTACAGACATGCCTACAGTATTTTGCTCGTGCGCTTGCTGCCCTGGGCCCCTTAGAGTTCGTGGGCCCTGATCAATTGCCCAGTTGCCCATATGGTTAATCCGGCCTTGGCTGCATCTGTTTCCAACGCTTTCCTCTTTTTAATTCTTGCCTTCTCCGCGCCACCCTTGCTCTTTCTACTTTCCATCTTTCCGTCAACTGCGTGCTCACGTGGTGCGCACAGGCGCATACGGGGGGAAAAAAACGAGCTGCAGCCTGCAGGTAGAGCCAGCCAGAGACAGCCGGGAGGAGCGTATGTGATCAGCCCGGCGGCCTCAGTGCCATGACTGAACACCGGCACCAAAAAATAAAAATAAAATGATAAAAAACAAAAACGAGAGCACCGGCCCCATGCGGCCCAAACATCGCGCGGCCCACCGGGAATTCTCCAGACCCTCCCGATTAGCCACTCCGGGCCTGCTTGTAGCCACAGCTGCCATGGGGAGGTCTGACAGAGGCGAGGCTGCCATTTGGCGCCGTCGGCCCCTCTGACCACCACTAACACAGGCAAGTTGGGTGAAGTGTCTTGCCCAAGGACACAACAGCAGGATACCCCTGGTGGGAGCTGGAATCGAACCCATGACCCTCCGATCATGAGGCAACCCTCTACCACCTGAGCTACTGCTGCCCCCAGCTGTGATCACAGATGGTCAGGATGAAAACAAATATAACGGAATGGAGCCTTTAACTGATGCAGAATCAGACGCTGTCATGTGAAGCTGCTTCAGCCTTGTAGAAATGAAGCAGTCAAAATAAATGTTTGTGCAGCAGGATCATTTCCTCTGATGAAGCAGACAGTGGTGTCAGTGAACTCCAACACTTTCTCATCTAGAGCCTGTTCAGAGAACACAGCTGTTACTGTTACCACAGCACATCTGGTCCATTCACAACGTCTGGATAAAAACTGTAGATATGACCAGACAGTGATAGTTGATCAGACTGTCAGCTGTTGTTTTGTTGTGTTGATGCAGTCTTGGGAGTAGTTTGACAGCAAACACGATACCAAAGAGGAACAAAAGCACACGTCTCTTTGAGATTTTAGAGCAAGACGGCAAGTTTCAGTAAAAGTTCACTTGTTGGGATCTTTGCCATCATTTGATCTCGACATGCTTCAGAAAAATAAATCCAAGCTGTTACTCAGGTCCATCACATTATAACATACAAACACTCATCATCATGATCCAGTCAGAGTCTCTACACAAACTGCTGCTTCAGCCTCTGAGGATCATCAGGAGTCAGCTCATCTTCTCTCCTGGTCAAAGGTCATCATGACTCCTCCCACCTGTAGAGAGTAAAAGAGAGGAGGTGACTTCCTGTTTCCAGACTCTCTCCTTCAGCCTTCAGTCAGTGATGCAGCACATCAGCAGCAGCTTCCTTTCAGCTCTCATATTAACGTGTTGGAGTGAAGCTCACACACCTGCAGAGACTTTTAACATTAAATTTAACATTCTTCTTCCTGCCTTCAGAGAGAACAGACGCTTTTTTCTCAGCTCCCTTATCGGCTTCCCCAAGGCTCTTGTCCTGTCTGCCTACAGAGCACTTCTCTGCATTTCTCCTGAAACCACTACTCTTTTTTGGAAATATGGACTTAATTAATTGGTCATTCAACGTGATTGACAAAATTTTCTCTACGATGAGAACGGAGAAGGGGGCTCCCACCTGTCCCGAGGGGACATTCGCATCGGGATATGCACTCGATTCTTGGGAGGTCTGGCGAATCGTGTGCCTCTCTCAGCTGTCCATCGAGGACGTGGAAGATTTGTGGATATTCGGCCTAATGATCACTGGATTTCTTCTGATTGGAGTGGGAGGATATCTGGTTTTCTGGAAATTTGGGAAGACGGGAGCGACTGGAGTGCGACCCGTACCCACGGAATGTGCCGCTCGTGCGGTGACCTCACAGACTGGGACGTTACTCGAGGTGAACCGTAAGCTGGACAATGTCCTTGCGGCGTTGCCTGTGTTAGTGCGCAAGATGGATTTGATCTCGGAGAGGGTCGCCGGACGATGCGGGGATGTGGAATGTAAAATTGGCTTCACTGGTGGACATGAATGACCACTTAGAGACTACAAGACGAAGGGGAAGATTATCTCTGTCTACCCTAAACAAAGTTATGTTTATCCTTATCTGACGCCATAGCAGCCTCTCAAGGCTGCCTCAACACACCCCCACAAAAGGCGGAATGCCGACAGATGCTGTGTCCCGACCTTCACCCTCTCCCTTCAGGCTGACATGTCTGCAGGGACCTCAAATGTGCTCTCTGTTCCTTATCTCTCCCTCCCACCTGTTGTTCTGCAGCTGGTCGATGCGCCGCAGTGGCAGCTCCCATTGGAGGCTTCAGGATCCCGCCCACCCCCACCTCCCCATTGGACTCTGATGTTGTACACGTGCTGTCTGTGCTTCCATGTCGGGTGTTTTTTTTGCATTGGAGTGCTACACCCTGCTGGTGTAACCCTGTTAATGCCTTTTTTCCCCTCCCTGAACTTTCCTCATGTAACACCCTTTTCATCTAACTATTAAGGTAGCACGACTCATGTTGCGAATGACCGCAGTCACCAATTCTTGTTATGTGTCTTACCCACGTATGTCTGATCTTTGAATTGTGTGTGCTGAAACTGAATTTCATTTCTCTGTATGTCCCGCACATGTGGAGAATATGACAATAAATGACTCTTGACTCTTGAAATGTACAAAGACCACGTAGCTCCTGGAAGCCTTCTGAAATCAGAGCCAGTGATTTACAGGCTGCAGTCAGACTGATCTCAGAGATGTGACAAAAATCAAAGTGACCAGCTGTTTCCTGTTGAAATGAGACAACAAACAGTCTGAGATCAGATCTGATGGAGACACTGAAGGTTGGTTTATGCTTGACGCGTCCGCTAGGGAAGCACGGCTCCGCTTCGGCAAAATTGCATTATTTTAACAACCACGCCCCTCCACCGCGCCTCTGCACGGCCAGAACTTTCCGCACCGCGCACCTAGGAAATTTTCTAACCAAGCGGACGGTCGGACACGGAAAAGCATGGCGGACTGGCAAGAACTAGTATGGCAGAGGTTTGTAAATACAGACATTTGTATGATTCAGCTCTCAAAGATCACGTGATCAACATGTTGTTAATAATTCTTGGAGAGAAATAGCTCGCACTGTCGGAAAAGACGAGGACGCCGTTAAAAAATGCTGGAATGCCATGTTGTAAACAACAGTAATTTTTACTTCTACTATGGTGTAGTGTTGGATGCATGCCGTAGAGCTCCATGCTGCCCCGTTCAGTTTGGGAGAATATTGGCTCACCGCAGAGACAAGCCGCATGAACCATAAACGCTGCAAGTTGTGAAGCGTGTTCCATCCGCGAGCCGCATCACCAAGCGGAAAGTAAATGCGTCAAGCATAAACCAAGCTTTAGATCAATGTGGACCATTGTCTCTATACATGTTGAAGGCTGTCAGCAGGAATCTAGCTTGATCTCCTGGAGACCTGAACACAACAACAACACTCATCTTCACATCAACATAAGCTTCTGGCTCTTCTGATTGGCTGATTGTTGTCCAATCATCAAGCCTGTCACCATTCTCCTCTCACAGCTGGACTGAGGAAAGCAGCCATTGGGAAGCTGCAGCTTTACTGGAAACACTGGATCTTTGCTTTGGTCCTAACTGGGTTTAGTCTAATCCTGCTGACAGCAGCCTGGACTCACTCCACCCAGATACTGACCTCAGAGTCTGCAGGTTGTAGTCTGGACTCTCCACTAGATCCAACAGCTTTTCAACATTTAGAGCCTTCAGGTTGTTCCGTCTCAGGTCCAGTTCTGTCAGAAGGGACGGGTTGGACTTCAGAGCTGAGACTAGAGAAGAACAGCTGATCTCTGACAAACTGCAGCTACTCAACCTGAATAAAGAAGAAAAGCAGTGAGCTGAAGCCAACAGGATGCAGGTTAAAATAGAAACATGAACTAAATCAATAAAATAAACTCATTTATTTTCATGTCAGAAACACAGAAACATCAACTGATTTTTAACATTTTATTCAGTAAAATGTATTTAAAGTTTAAAACAAGTAGATACATAAACTATTTTTGTTCTAAAGAAAGTTTTTTTCAAACTTGTGGAAAAACTCAAAAGTTTTGACAAAATGTATGTATAGTTCAAAGTTTTGAAGTGAACAAAATTTTTATTTAAAAACATTATTTATGAAGAATCTGAATGATTTTATTTTGTTAAACACAGAAAAACCTTCAACAGCTGCAGTGAACTGACCTCAGAACCTTCAGTCTACAGTCTGGACTCTCCAGGAAACCACAGAGCTCCTTCACTCCAGAACCAGACAGGTTGTTCCAGCTCAGGTCCAGTTCTGTCAGATGGGATGGGTTGGACTTCAGAGCTGAGACCAGAGAAGAACAGCTGATCTCTGACAAACAGCAATTCCTCAACCTGAATAAAGAACAAAGCAGCGAGCTGAAGCCAACAGGGTGCAGGTTAAAACAGAAACATTAAATCAAACTTAATTCCAGAATAAATGGTGTCCATATCACGAGACACCAAATATAAAATAATAAATTAATTAAATAAAGACAAGGAATAAAAGTATAAAATGTGTAAAACAAATAAAACACATTCCCATCACAAAGCATAAAGGCAGTTGTTCCGATGTTTAAAAGACCTCAGGGATACCTCGTGTCTCTATATGTTAAAGCTGACAGGCTTCGACTACAATGTTAGCGGACAAACTCAAACCACACATGATTTTCTACATATAGTTCCTCAGTAGTGCATGGAAGGTAGGGATGTTACTCCTGACAAACATCTGACCTGCAGAGGTCCGTGGTGGGAGCCTCAGGAGGATTCTAAATGCATCCTGATAAGCCACTTGTAGTTTCTTCATTCCAGCCTGACTAGAAGTGCAACACAAGTGGGCCGTGTAGAAGGGAGTGCAAGTGGAAGGACAAAGGGCCACTTTAACGTGGTCTGAGCACATGCCACAGTTACTGTACCAGAGTGTTAGCCTGCATGTAGAGCTCAGAGCACTGTCTCTTAACATCATCATCACTTCTTAGAATGGGCCCCAAATGTCTGACTTCTCTCACCACATCCAGGACTTGGTTTGTTAAATAAAAGATGGAAAGTTCAGTTTCTGCTCTTCTTTAGGTGCAGCAATCATGGCAAGACTCTTTTTAGGGTTAAACATGATGTCACATTGTTCACCATAGACCCTGAGCAGCTGCTGCATGCCAGCACTTTAGGGACACAGGAGGACTAGATCATCTAGGTCTCAATCTCAGTCATTTACAAGGAGGTGGCCCACCAAGCACCCAGTCTAGCGATCATTCAGTGCATCAGGCAGATCATCAGGGTACAGGCTAAAGAGGACAGGAGACAAGACTCCACCTTGTCTGACTCCATTACATACAGTGAAGGCTTCAGAGACTTCCATTCCCCACTGAACCTGCAACATCAGTCGGTGAGAGGACCAAAAATGCTAAATCCTGATTCTATCTGCAGGGAATCTCTACTTTGTAGTTTCAGATCCAGTTTATGGCGATGAACTCTGTCAAAGGCTTTGGAGGCATCTAAAAACACATAAAAACAGATGGATTCTGTCTCATAGACTTACTTCCAGTTTCCTTTAGAGCACAGATACATAAGTCCGTACTAAGCAGACTTTTAACCACACTGATGATCACTTGCTGCTATAGACTCTTGAAAACACTTTAGACAACACTGTTGCCAGGGCAACTGACATGTAATTATCCATGCAGGATATCCTTCCAGTAGTTTCTTTCACCACAGGAAGTAAAAGATCTGATAACACGTGATCAGGTCAGCTAGCATGCTTCAACCAACCAGTAAAGCACAATGAGAGGAACACATGGACTCTTCCACTAGCATACTACATGTGCTCTGCTGAGAACTGCTCAAGGCCACACACTTTGTTTAATGACTTTTTCTCAGTAGGAAGACAAACTTCATCTGCTCAGACAATCAGGCCACAACTACAGTCAATATTGCCGACATTGACCCTTTCACTGTTGACACAGTTAAACATCCTGCAATAGCGTTTCCTTCATAATTTCAGCAATATTCTATCTCCAGATACTCCATCAATAGTTGCTGCTAGCAGAGACTTTATGACCTAAACCATTTCTATCAGATTCATTCATTTTATTATGTCAGAAATGCAAAAACATGATTTAATATTTTATTCAGTAAACGTTATTTAAAGGATCAAACAAGCAGAAACGTGTTTTAGAAAATTTTTATTTAAACTTTTGGAGAAACTGAAAAGTTCAGAAAAATAAAAGTGCAGATTAAAAATGTAAAGTGAGAAAAGTGTAGTGATAAATATAGATTTATGTGGTGTAGATTTAGCTTGTTTAGTTGTTTATAATCTTATATTAATTAATCGGGGGACCACCAAGCCTTCGTTAGTGTGAACTTGGAACACTTGAATTGATATTCAGATTTGTTCAATGTGATCAGTCTCAAACTGAACACCACAAATTAACCTGAAGGATGAATTCTTGCCAGAATGTGCCGACTATTCTCGAGATCGCTAGAAATGATCAGGCGTTATTTACGTTTGTGAGTTTATTACAAACATCAGTTAATACACTGACAAATGGATCAAACACATCTTATAGTTTCATGCATGGAATTAAGAAAATGGTTAAATCCGAAGCTTTATGGCAGTGATATGAAATAACTGATCTGTAATAAAAGTGGAAATTTGGTGACACACACAAGGTTATAGTAGAATGGGGAATAATTTCTACAAGGGAACAAGTGAATTTTCATGTGAGTTTATGGGGAATGGTTGAGTGGGTTTGTGTGTGTGTGTGTGCGTGTGCGTGTGCGTGTGTGTGTGTGTGTGTGTGTGTAAGCAAATAAGGGTTTGTTGCGGCAGATAAAGAAGAATAAATCTTGAGAGCTAACAAGAATTTGGATTGAAATAAAACACGCCATGAAACGGGATCATCTGAATTCACTAATCGGCTTAGCAGACAAGTCAGCCAGATGAAATGATTCACAGACCTGTTTCCGTCGCCAGGGGTGACCAAAGGGCTGAAACAGCCAGAGAAGTCCTCGCTTGTGTGAAGCCTTCATGGACTAACTGAGTTAGAGTTGCCTCTGAGTTTTACTCTAACTTTTGAGAGCTAATGACTTAAAAACTTTGAGAGCGACGGCGTTGCTAGGCGAGATGGAAAAGCCTAGCAGGGATTTGCGCTTAAGGCGTCCTTTGTTCTTTGCTCTGCCGTCACGAGGTTAAAACCAGGGGCCTCATTCATCAAGCTTGCTTACGCACAAAACGGGGTCGGAAAACTGCATAAGTTACTTTCCATGCAAACTTTGGGATTTATGAAAGAAAACTTAGTGGAAAAATGTGCACAACTTTAAGTAGACTAAGGACCTGGCTTACGCACATTTTGGACATGGAGAGCACCTGCAGTGCTGCTGCTGAGAAGGATAAAAGTATGAAATCCTGCAGTATTATCACTTGTACCGCTTCCTTTTCACACACAACAAGACCCCCACATGCACACACACGCGCGCGCGCACACACACACACAGCCTGAAGCGCAGAATATCAGCAGGGGGGCAGATTGAAACAGAATGTCATGCATCTGTGACAGTGTGCGTCCTGTCACTGTGACCCGATCGATCATGCGCCCTGGCTACTTGGACAAGGGAGATCTCCATTTGGGTGACTGGTTAGCGCATGACTTTCACCTGGGAGTCTGAGGATCGAATCCCGATTGGACCATTTTTTTAATATCCGCCACAGATCTCTGAAGAATTCTCAACATTGACGGCTTCAGCAACGCTGTGCCACTCAGTGGATTTTCTCTTATTTGTTTTGCAAAAGCACTTCCTTTCATTTCTCCTCCTCACCCACAGGCAGGCACGTGCAGAGGGGGGTGCGGAGGGTGCTTGAGACCCTGCCCCTTTTGTCCCATGTGCCCAAAGTGCCCTTTTTGAGGCTGAATGATTTTTTTATATATTTATTTATTTTTTTTTTTAAGAATTTTCTGTTTGTGCCCCCTCAACAATAACAAAAATAATAATTAATAAAATTTCTGTTTAATAAAGCTATATAGCTGGCGTGAGTCACGTGACCACCTTCCCTTCCTGACGCCAGAGTGCACAGCCGGTCAGCGCCCACGTTTCCTTCATGGCCGAGCGAGCGGTGCAGAGCTTTTAGGACATACTGATTGGGAGAAACGGACTAACACTGGTAAGTAGGATGCACACTACTATACACAGTTATTAGATTATTTTGTACATTATTAAGTTGTTTTGTGGCACTAGGTGTGTGTGTGATATATTACTAGCTGGGTGTGTGTCTGTGGCTGGGTACCGACTCTGAACCTCAGTAGCTTTAGGATTAACCAAAAACATTCTGTACATAAGTACTTGTACGAAAATATGTTTTCAATCTTAAATATTGGGAATTTGCCAATAAAACGTCATTGTTGTTAACTGGGTACAGCAAAGTTGCATTCCTATCGCTGTTGCGCGTCACATGACTGGGGTCTCACACACAGCCCTGCTTCCTGTTTACAGAATCACTTCCTGGTTCGCAGACTGATAAAACTTGAACAAATTTAAAATTTTGCTACCTTTTGTGAAAGGAAATAAGAAAAATACTAAAGGTAACATCCGTCACAAGTTTTGTGTTACTAAATATTCAGTCCTTGTCTGTAAATTCGGTCCAGCGTTTTAGGGAACATAGTTTTGTTTTAGATTTTAAGGTTTCTCAGCCCTTCTGGTGAGTTTTATAGTTCACTAATACTATGCACATTCTCAAAATGTTGGAGTTTATATTTGCTCTCTTTTTGAATGCATTGTATTAAAAACAATATGTTTCAAAGATGTACATTTAAAAAAATACTGTTTTGACAGCAAAATTATTTTATCTGTACACGTCTCTGTTTTGCACAAAGAAGATAGTAAAACTGAATGAAAGCATAAACATTTTTTATTCTTTATTTTTATTATAATTACTAAAGCACTATGATTAAAATATTATGGAAATATTCTGGATCAGCATCATGAAGCAAATTATATACAGTTAGTTTTCTGGAAAAGGAATGAAATGTCCCAGTATGTGTGTGCATGAGGTTTATATGCATGAAAACATATTTGTAAATTAATTATGATATACCATTGTACAGACATGCCTCGTAAGGAGAGGAGGCGGAAGCAGCCACAGAAAGAGCTATGTGAGGCAGCTGAAGGCAGTGGGTCCCTCACCAGCTGGATAAAAACAGAGTACAGGTAAGTTGCATCACAGCAACAAGTTTAGAAACAATAATATACACAACTCATCATGGATCATGGATTAGGTGCAAGACCTGTTAAATGTGAATAACTACATAATTCATTCATACAATAGCTAATGTTGCCTTGTTCTCAGATGGACAGCAGGTGGAGAGTGATAGATCACCTGAGGAGATTGAAGACACACACACACACACACACACACACACACACACACACACACACACACACACACACACACTTATCTCTGACATAAACTCCTCTATTATCCACTAATGTTTAGATTTCCATTTATTCACCACAGGTTTTGTCTCAGATATTTCTGTCTTACAGTTCTGAGAGTTTTCACCAATTTTTGCCATTTTTTTATGATCTTACATTAATTTTGTAATTGACTAACATTTCTCCTCTGTTGGTTTTACTACCTACAGTCTGAGATCAACACAGCCTTACCCTCCAGCATCACCAGCAGCAGCAAGAGGAGCGACCCTGCAACAGCTACACTGTACCCCATCATCAGGTAAAATAGGACAGCAATAGATCAGGAGGTGGAGCAGGTTGTCCAGTAATCGGAAGGTTGCAGGTTTGATCCTGACTTCAATCAGAGATTGATGCTGTTGTGTCCTTGGGCAAGGCACTTAACCTGCTTTGCCTGCTGGTGGTGGTCGGAGGGACTGGTGGCGCCTGTGCTCAGCAGCTTCACCTATGTCAGTGCGCTCCAGAGCAGCTATGGCTACATCATAGCTCATCACCATCAGTGTGTTAATGTGTGTGTGTGAATGACTGACTGTGTTGTAAAGTGCCTTGGGGGGTTGTAGAACCCTAAGAAGGCATTATACAAATACAGAACATTTACCAAAACAAGTTATTTTTGCTTGACATTGTCCTTATATGGTAAGGGTGTATATAATGATTCGTTTCCATTTTGAATTTCTAATAAATATGATTTGTTACTCAGCCAGGTATACTGTGGTTATGTCATGGTGTTAGAAAATATTATTCTGTGTGCCCCTTTTTAAATTTGAGCACCCGCCCCTTCAGAGGTCTCTGCACAGCCCTGCCCACAGGTACCTCAACTTCTGCTTCTGTGAAATTGTGCTTCTTTGATCTGCCTTGATCTATGGTCGCCATGGTCATTGGCAGAGCGCTGCAACAGCCGGCTTATGTATATGCATGAGATCCACGAGGCACTTTGCACTGACTATTTATGGCAGTAAGTGGGCGTGGTGAGGGCGGGATGTGACTAAAAAGCAGCTGGGAACCTTTCTAGATAGTTTCTGATTTACGAAGCGGAGATTACGTGCAGCTGTGCGTACTCCATGTTTGATAGATCACAAACCTACTTGGCGTAAGTACATTTTTTTTGCTGAGCTTCAGTACGGTTTTAGTAAGGATTCTACGCAATGTTTGAGAAAGGAGTCCCCTGGCCTTTATAACCTTGCTTGGTCATGCCCACATGTATTCCACTCACTAACCACTGGATGGCACTATGAATCTTTCAAATAACTCAACCTTTCCAACAGTGAAGAGTTCATATCACAATTTACCAAAGTGATCCACATAATGCCTCAAAAAGTATTACTTTAAACAAAAAAGAAGTAAATTCATGTCTTAAGCTTGACTGTATTACTGTTAGCATTAATTTTAATTGGTGAAACAAAAATAGCAGAGGCTTAACATAAAAGAAAAATCACAAAACAAGCAGTTAGGTTTGTAACTGATAAGAGTTTAAACATTTACTTTGAACACCTTGATTTTTAAAGGTGAACATCCTAAAACACATTTTGACTGTGGATAAACAGAAAAACCAGGGTTTTTATGAAGACTAAATTCTGGAACCTTCCAGAACAAGCCCTGAGAAGTGTACAAGTCTTTGGTGAGAGTAAGGTCTTCCTCCTGTCGTCCTGCTTCTGCGATTGGTAAAGTAGGGAAAAACAAGTCACTTGGTAAAATTTATGTCCCTGGGAGAAGGTAGGAGTTAGCCAGATGTGCTGAAAAGGGAATCTTGGAATGTATATGACTACAGCCAGTTTCAAATCCCCCTTGTTTGCTGCTAAGTGTGAAAGAAAGAAAACTTTGTGTGAAAATGGTATTGTTCTTCTTCGTGTGAACCCGACAAAAGTTTAACTGAGGATATGAAATGTGGATTTCTGCTACAAAAGTATAAATGTTTATTATTATCAGTGAATGATTTTAGTTTGTTAAACACAGAAAAACCTCCACCAGCTGCAGTTAACCAACCTCAGAACCTTCAGTCTACAGTCTGGACTCTCCAGGAAACCACAGAGCTCCTTCACTCCAGAACCAGACAGGTTGCTCAGACTCAGGTCCAGTTCTGTCAGATGGGACGGGTTGGACTTCAGAGCTGAGATCAGAGAAGAACAGCTGATCTCTGACAACCTGCAGTACATCAATCTGAATAAAGAATACAAATAGTGAGCTGAAGCCAGCAGGATGCAGGTTAGAACAGAAACATGAACCAAATCATCTAAATAAACTACAATAATACTTTTATTATTCTGGTTTTATCCAGAAATGACTCGCCCCTTATGGTTGCATTTAGCCAAATAAAACAATTCCTCTTGTGCCACAGCCTGCTTTTAATCCCAAATGAACAAAAGTCATTTCTTTTGTAATTAAATTAGCAGGTGTGTGTTAACCTGAACACGGTGAGCACAGACATGATCAAAGCTTTCAGTGTGTCAATTGTGGACGAGCCACCCTAAAGGTGCAGGCTTGGTGTTGGCACCCCCAAAGGCTTCCTGTAGTCCAGCTAATCTGAGTCTAACACTGAGAAAAGCTTGTGATGGACACGTGATTAATGCTTTCTTCATTAGTGTGGTGAATGGAGCATTCTGGGATTTACTAACAGGGTCTTTCTTTCTACCTGATTCAAGGCCTGAGAGAGCCGTGCACAAAGGTTCCCATAAAATTCATTTATTTTAAATTACACCACCATCTGGCCCTCACAGAGTCTGCTGAGAGAAGTTTTGGCCCTTGGACAAATAGAGTTCATCAGTTCATTTCTTTTTCTAACATGAAATAAAAGATAAAAAAAAACAGGATGAAACCAGCAGCTAATGGTCCATGTAACGTTTCCAAAAACAGACTCAGGATTTCAACAGTATTAATGTTTAAAGTTCCAACAACAAATCCTGATCCTCTCATCCATCTCAGGTGTCCCACAGTGCCCACCTGCTGCTGTGTTTCTGTTGCTTAGCAACCACTTCATCAATGCCTTCATAAAACTCAGCAGCAATCTTCAAGTTAAATGAAGTTTATGATAATAAAATGAGCAGATAGTATCTGAAAACATCTAACAGAAATATTTGTTCTAACAATGGCAGCATCGCAGCTGATCATTAATTAAAGAACTTAAACATCTACAGCGCCTCCTGCTGGGCTCCTGATTAATTTACCTGAAGTCTGTTTAGTCCTTGAACTCTGTTATTGTGGAGCTGACATGAATGTATGAGGATATGGTTGAATGCTGGAATCAGGTCACATGATCTCAATATTTGACCCCCCAACGTGCTCAGAAACGTAAACACAGAAAACCTCAAACAGCTGCAGTGAACTGACCTCAGAACCTCCAGTCTACAGTTTGGACTTTCCAGTCCAGAACTCAGAACCTTCACTCCAGAACCAGACAGATAGTTTTCACTCAGGTCCAGTTCTGTCAGATGGGACAGGTTGGACTTCAGAGCTGAGGACACAACTTCACAGTGAGTCTCTGAGAGTCCAGAACCAGAACCAGCTCTGAGATGAGAAAAATTCAAGTCAGTTGTAATGATAAACATTTTGAAATTAAACGATGACTTAACAGTATAGCATACCAATGGTCAAGTTTTCATCAACATGAACAGAAACTAGCATTTAATTTGCAGCAACAAACTGCGTCACACATCCAGGGACGCATAACATCTGTCTAGCCACCAAGAAAGAAAAACAGGGATTTTCAACATGCAACCAGTCAAAGAAGCCATAATATTTTTGCTCAAGGTCTCATGCAGAAGTGGAGATTCCTGCACTTTTACTCTGAATAAAGATCATCTGCCTTGAATTATAAATGACTTTACAACTTAAAGGTTGAAATAATCAAATGTGTTAAGTGAGCAAGATGTTTGAAACCTAAAATGTTTGTATAATCTGTGTAATGGAAAATAGTAAAGTTATGTGGGCTAAATAAATTGCTTTAAAAGCTATTTATTTCTATTCTCATTACTTGTGACCGATAGCTGTAATAGTCTATTAATTATAGAATATCACCTTGCTTGGTCTTAGGATGATTAATTAGAAGGTTCTATGATTCTTTTTAATACACAACTGGAGTCTGGGAACATCACATAACTGGGAATTAATGTCTCTCCCAAGCTGGCAGATCTAATCAAACTAAACTTCATCCCGCTTTTAAAGAAAGTGGAAGATGATCTTGCAAGATGGAAATCTTTACCGATATCTCTTGTGGCAAAGACTGTTATAATTGACCTGTTTTCAGATTAGTGCAGGGTTCTTTACATTGATGTTTGCCTGCAGTTTTATCGTTCCGCCACTAGGTGGCAATCACAGCGCATTAATGTATGGTTCTGAGTGTTTTGCAACTCAGAGAGGTCAGATCATTCTTTCCAGCCTTTAGTGTGCGTCCATTGAAAGTGAGTAATCCTATCTGAGCTGTACTTTGCTCTGAAACACCTGAGACACCTGGTACTTGTGTATGAATGTTATAAGGCGCCTTGAGGTTGTTTTCGGTTAATATTGGGGGCTAACTGCTAACCATCTGCAACTCCTAGCTGGTTAGCATACACAGTTAAGCTCTGAATGACCTCTCTCGTTGCTGTTACTGTTGTAGCTGAGTGCTATTGGGTTGAAATGTCTTATTTAGTGTTGTGTGCTGAATACATTGATTCACTATTGGCAAGGGAAATTCTTAGTTGTATGGTTTAAGCTGTACGTTTCTTAAGTAGTTTTTGGTCAGCTCCTTAATTTATAAAGACTACAAAAACCAGTGATAACCCTACCATACATCAAAGGCATAACAGAAAAAATAAGAGCAACAATGAAAAAAACACAACATAAACACACCAACAAAACCATTCACAACAGTTAGAAACAGACTAGTGCACCCAAAAGACAAGATACCAGCTGGACTTAAATGTGGAGTCATTTACGAAATCCCATGCAAACTCTGCAATAAAACATACATAGGAGAAACTGGACACCAACTCAACACACGAACAATAGAACATAGAAAGGAGTGCGAGAAAGAGGCAAGTCGAAAACACACAAGAGCAGCAAAAGAAGAAGCAGAAAGTACTATAAAGAAGTCAGCCTTAACAGATCACTGCACAAGAGGAAACCATATAATGGACTGGGACAACACAAGGATCAAAAACATCGAACAACAGAAATACAAAAGATGGATAAAAGAAGCCATAGAGATAAGGAGACGTGGATGTGGGACCATGAACAGAGATGATGGAGTTTACACGTTGGATCGCGCATGGGACTGCATCATCAGAGAGGGGAGAGTGGGCAGCAGAGGGCGACAACGTCCACTGCTGCCCGCGGATAAAAGGAGAAGGAAGTGACGCCACCATCAGCATTAGCCTGACGAAGTTTGCAGCCGCAAACGAAACATTACAGGTAAATAAAACATCTGTGTTTTAAAAAGAACTAAAAGATGGAATTAGAATTTCAACTAGGGCAGAAACGAGTCCTCGAATAATTCGAGTACAAAAAGTCCTCGAATCAAATTCTCTGCCTCGAAGCTTCGTTTAATTCACGGCTTTGCAATCGCCCGTGGTCATGTTTCACCCGGACCGAAATAAGTGACGCACATACACACTGCACTGAATGCAAACGCGAGTAGCGAACGCAACTTAACTTTCTTTTAAGCCATGGCGGACAACGTGGACCCCGGTGGAGTGCGAAAAAGACACAAAATGTCAAAGATGTGGGACCATTTTCACGTTGTAAGGCGGAAAACGTAGTCCAGTGTAAATACTGTAAAATGGATTTAGCCTACCACAACACCACATTCCTCGATGCTGCAACCTGACCAGGAAACATCCACATGTAAATGTCACTTCTGCAAGCGGACTCGGAGCCTCTACAAGATAATGCATTTTAGCCTGTATTTCTATATATTCTGCGGACACTGTGCGACTTTTTCATTTGTAGCACTCAGTTTCAGCTCACACCGTACGTCTGGTAGCAACACGTCGGACTTAAAATGTGCTAAAAATAGCAGTTTTTACAACACATCGGACTTTTTACTGTGTTGTTATTGATGTCTGTTGTCCTTCGGGATTGCTGCAGGAGGACACGGGTATTTATGAGAGGAAAACGAAAGAAAGTAAATAAATGTTTTGCGATCAGTATAATTTGACATAACCACGGCAAACATGCTTTCGACAATCCTTGTTAGTGTGAGACAAAAAAAGTGTAGAAATTAAAACGAACATTTGTTTTATAAGGAAACAGCTGGCGAGCCATGTTTGCGCATGCGCCGTGAGCGGTTCTGGTTCTGTTTGGGCCGCAGCTGCTCGCATTGTTTACTGTGAAGTAAAGTTGAAGTGCTGAAGTTTTGAAAACCAATTTTGAATAAAACTTGAAGAATAACTGGAAATTGCTTGCTCATTTTAAGAGGTCTTTCATATTTTATAACATGCTATTTGATATAAGGGTTTACAAACGCAAAAGAGTCATTTATTAGAGTACTCAATTAATCGATAAAAGATTCGATAGAGTACTCGATTACAAAAATATTCGATAGCTGCAGCCCTAATTTCAACACAGCAAGAACACACTAAAGATGTTTGATATGTATAATTCCCTTGTGTAACCACATGTTTAGTTGTATGAGAAATAATTACTCACAAGCTATTACTGAAGATTCTGTATTTGTTTATTCCTTGTAGGAAACCACACTCACACACACAAACATCCACCCATGTATTCTGCATCTGCTACCAAACCAGTCAGATACCTGTATGGAGAATGTTTGTGCCTCAAGCCTGATTCATGCTTCTCCGTCAGCTCCGCAAGGGACAGACACGCACGGACTGATGGAAGCATTTTGCTCTCATACTTCTCCGTCTCCTGGGGAGTGTTGCAAAACAATTACCCAGTAGGACAACAGAGGGCGTATCACTGTTCTGTGGTACCCTGTCATGTATCGGTCCAAGATAGTGTGTTTATATTGTGTTTTTTGTATATAAGAGATTTTTAACACAGACAAATTTGTCTCTCATCCTCCTCCACCGCTTCATGCGCACGCCACCTCTAAACCCACGTTTCCTGTCATTTCCGTCCACCAATAAAACGCTTGCTGCGTATCTTTTCACTCCTCCAGTCACGGGGAATTAAACGTTCATGTTTTTAGAGTTTTTTCGCGAGGCATTCTTCAAGCTGCTCCATGTCTGCCGCTAGTTATCCTCGGCTCTCTTTATGTTTTTGAGGGCGCAATGCTGGCATTGTAGACAACAGCGGCGTCCTGACCAATCACAAGCTTGCGTTGTCCGTCTCGACTGACGGATGTTTAGAAAAGAGAGCTCGACTCTGTCCGACCTTGCGGAGAGCTCTGAGTTGCACTAGTGCAGTTGCACTAAGTTGCACTAGTGTCTTCGCACTGATGCAGATGGAGAAGCATGAATCAGGCTTAATTAAAGAAGAACTCAAAGACAACTTTGGAGCTGGACATTCACTAATTATTTCCCACTCTCCTGAACATATAACCGCTGTCCTGACCCGACGCCCTGCAGTGATTGCTAATCTTCAAGGGACTATAAGGAAGTTTGACAGCCAAAACATGTATAGAAATAATTAATTTCTTCTTCATACATTCTCCTGCAATGCCCTGGTCCTGTAGAATGAGCCCTGGCATTTTTACTGTGATTACCTGTTTTCTGTAAAATCACAGAAAAAGAGAGATGCTCGGGTCGAGCAGGCTGCTTCATGCGCGTTCACGCTCAGGCATAGCCCGTAGCATTTGCTATCCATCGCTTGCAGCAGAGTGCCAACTCCTGTTCCTAACGCCTAGTGACGAACCTAGCTACAGTTCTGAGGACCCTTAGCTACTTTCTGTAGAACTTTCTTCTAGATATTTCCTGCAAATTAGCAACAAAATAGCCATTTTTGCTCTGAACCGTTCTTTGGATTGACGTTGTTTCAGGTGTCAACAAGGATATAAATGTTACAGATACATTGAATGTCAATGGTGCTTTAGCTCACCTAGTAAGGTGTCTGACTCTCATTCAGAAGACCTGGGTTCATCTCCAGTTGTGAACATAATTTGTCATTTTGAGTTTCTTTTTTACATTAATGATATATTTTTTTACAGTAATAAGACGTCCAAATTTTTATTTGAGACTCACCGAACGTCATTGAATTCACAGATAAAAAAGATGTGGGTTCTACTTTCATTTTGGAACAATTTTTCAAGCAAGGGAAGGGAATGATCTGAGCATGCAGGACTGACCCATCTTTAACCATTGTCGGCTGTGCTGAAGAGAAAGGTACAGAGCCAAATTATATAATTAGCTGCGTGTTCTCCTGTCCTCGGTCCTCCGGGCCACACACACACACACACACACACAGAGCACGTTCGGAGCTCATGCACAAGCTTACTATTGAAGCTGCAGTTACGCGTTAGGCCTGAGTGGCGAAAACTTCAAACTTCCTTACAGTCCCTTTAAGCAACCTGCTATAATACTTAGATACAATACATCACTCATGGGGAAGTTTGCTACAATTAAAATTACCCAGAATAAATGACTTATTTTCAATGATCCCAAACAAGCCACCAGCTGACTGGTTCAGATCTCTGGACTCATCACTAAATTCCTTTGGCAGTATAAACCTCCACAAATTAGCTTAAAAACATTACATTTCAGAAGACCAAAGACAGAGGAGGACTGGATCTACCCAACTTTTATTATTATTTCTTAGCCAACAGGCTGCAATATATACCAAGATGGTTGCAAGATAACTCACTAGATGAGTCCTGGTTAGATATAGAACAGACACTTTGCTTTCAGACTTACCATTTATTAGCTCAAGCATAAGAAAACATGAAAGCTTCAAAAGTATTAGTATCAGCACCTCTCTGACAGCGTGGTGGGAGTATCTTAAAATGACAAGAGTCTTCACTAGTACCATGCAGACACACACCTATCTGGAATAATCCTGACATTTTGCAAAATAACAAAATGATAAACCTTCCAGACTGGAAAAATAAAGGAATCCCATACCTGGTACACATAAATGAAGGATTGGACGTTATCCCATTTAAAAGAATAGTCTCCCAATTTGGAATGGATAAGAATAGCTTTTTAGAATACCACCACATTGAATCTGTAGTTAAACAAAAATTTAAGCTTAATTAAAATTGAATTTACAAACACCACCAATGGTATTAGACTTCTATAATCTCAAACCCCCCAAACTACTGTCTAAAGTATATAAGACACTGTCCAAAATAGATAGAATAGCAATCCCTATTGAAAAATGGGAGGTGGATCTATCAGTTAGCTTTGACTAGAACTTCTGGTCCCAAACTTGTTTAAAAACTTTTAAAATGATCAGACACCCCAATTTACAATTAATTCAGTACAAAATTTTACACAGAGTACACTATACAGGTCATCGGATGTTCAAGATGGGGTTTGTGTCATCTGACACCTGTACACACTGCACAAACAACATTCCTGACAATTACATTCACGCACTGTGGTCCTGCCCACCTGTCCAGGAATTTTGGGGTAGAGTATGTGAGGATCTGTCAAAGTCTCTGAAATGTCATATCCCAACCACCCCCTCTCTTTGTTTGCTGGGAAACCTGGACGATGTCTGGTCCCGGTTAAAACTTTTTCATTAAAAGTTTTACCGAACCAGAAGGCGTTTTAAAAAAACACAGGTTAATAAAAACCGACACTACGAAAACATTCAGTGTTTTAAAATTCCAAAGTCTGTAAACTACGATGTTAACCTTAAAACCGAGTCAACCAAGTTGACAAGAACAAAAGGTCCCTTTGAATCGCTCAGAGTTAAAACTATTAAAGTTAAAACTGATCAAACCGAAGGGGTTAAACACAAACTGATGCCTGGCGGACAGCAGAACACCTGCACTGCTGCCTCTCAGACTGCTGAAGGCACAGGCTTTTTATCCCAGGTGTGGGTCATCAGAGAGATTCATCTCAGCTGTGCTCCTCAGCAGCCTGGATGAGAGGAGGAGGAGGAGGGGCGGTTTCAGACTGATCACCACGGCTGGGTGATCCTGTCTCCTGTATCCAAAGTGGCCAGGCTGGTGGCCATAACATTGACAAAGGAACCAAATAAACCAAGTTCAAACTCAACAAAGCTTTAATGGAGAAAGAGGAAGCAGAGTGTTGATCTGTCCACAATCAGACGACTCTGAACCTTCTGATTCACTTTGACGTCTTTTTCATTCACTAAAGTGATTTTTCTGTTTAAACTGAGCAGCTCTAACAACTACTACTGACTGATGATGCTCATCAACACATCTGGACTCACCTGAACTTTCTGCAGTTCCTCACAGCTGGAATCAGTCTCAGTCTTCCCTCTGAGGATGTGTTGTACTTCTGCAGGTCCAACTCATCCAGAACCTCCTCTGACATCAGCAGCATGTAGGCCAGAGCTGAACACTGGATCTCTGAGATTTTCTCCTCTGACCTCTTCTCTGACTTCAGGAACTTTTGGACCTCCTGATAAACTGAGAGGTCCTTCATCTCCATCAGACAGTGGAAGATGTTGATGCTTCTGTCTGGAGAGACTTTATCACTGTTCATCTCCTTCAGGTTGTTGATGGTTCTCTTGATGGTTCCTGAACCGATCTGTGTCTGACCCAGCAGACCTCCTAAGAGTCTTTGGTTGGATTCCACAGAGAGGCCATGAAGGAAGCGGACAAACAGGTCCAGGTGGCCATTTTTAATGTTGAGTGATTTCTCCATGACTCTCTTCAGGAAATCCTCCAGAGAGGAGTCTCTGTAGTCTCCTCCCAGGAAGTTCTCCATCACCTCCATGTTCCTGCTGGTGAAACAGTGAAACATGTAGACTGCAGCCAGAAACTCCTGAACGCTCAGATGAACAAAGCAGTAGACTGGTTTCTGGAGGATCACACACTCTCTTTTGAAGATCTGTGTACAAACTCCTGAGAACACCGAGGCCTCTGAGACATCAAGACCACACTGCTCCATGTCTTCTTGGTAGAACATGATGTTTCCTTCCTCCAGATGTTCAAATGCCAGCCTCCCCAGCTTCAGAAGAAGCTCCCTGTCAGCCTCCATCAGCTCCTGTGGACTGGTCTCAGGTCCTTCATGGTACTTGTTCTTCTTCCTCTTTGTCTGAACCAGCAGGAAGTGTGAGTACATGTCAGTCATGGACTTGGGCAGCTGTCCTCTCTGCTCTGTAGTCAACATGTCCTCCAGAACTGTAGCAGTGATCCAGCAGAAGACTGGGATTCCACACATGATGTGGAGGCTCCTGGAGGTCTTGATGTGGGAGATGATTCTGCTGGACAGCTCTTCATCACTGAACCTCCTCCTGAAGTAGTCCTCCTTCTGGGCATCAGTGAAGCCTCGTACTTCTGTTATCCTGTGGACACATGAAGGAGGGATCTGATTGGCTGCTGCAGGTCTGGAGGTGATCCAGACCAGAGCCGAGGGAAGCAGGTTCCCCTTGAAGAGGCTTGTCAGCAGCACCTTGACTGATGACCTCTGTGTGACTTCAGAAACCATCTGATTGCTGCTGAAGTCCAGTGAAAGTCTGCTTTCATCCAGGCCATCAAAGATGAAGAGAAGTTTCCAGACAGCCAGCTTCTCTGCTGGAATCTTCTGGAATGTTGGATAGAAAACACGGAGCAGCGTGAGAAGACTGTGCTGCTCATCTCTGATCAAGTTCAGCTCCCTGAAGGAAAGCAGAAGCACCACATGGACGTCCTGGTTCTCCAAGCCCTCGGCCCAGTCCAGAGTGAACTTCAGCACTGAGAAGGTTTTTCCAGCTCCAGCGACGCCGTTGGTCAGAACCACTCTGATGACTCCATGTTGCTCAGGTAAGGCTTTAAAGATGTCCTGGCACCTGATTGGAGCATCATGGAGCCTCTTGGTCTTGGAAGTGGTCTCTAGCTGTCTCACCTCATGTTGGGTATGAACCTCTTCACTCTGTCCCTCTGTGATGTAGAGCTCAGTGTAGATCCTGTTCAGGAGGGTTCTACTTCCTGGTTCATCACGTCCTTCAGTCACATGTTCACATCTCCTCCTCAGACTGAGCTGATGTTCTTCTAAAACCTCCTGCAGACCAACATCTGCTGAGAAATGTGACACAGAGCAGATCTGAATGCTGCAGCAGAACCTCCAACATTTTATTGGTAGTTCAATCTGAATCATCTTCATTAAGATCTGAAATCTTCATTCTGAACCAAACAAAAACGTGTTTTAAACCAACAGGTGTGCAGAAACGTCTCACCTGGTCCTGAGCTGCTCTGATTGGCTGTCTGCAGTCCACTTCTGGTTCTGGATCTGTCTCCACACTGGGGACAGGAGGAGAGTCCTGATGGAGCAGACTGGTCCCAGTATGAGGTGATGCACCGTCTGCAGAAGGGTACAGATTAAAGTAAAAACTGTGTTTCTGATGCTCAGCTGCATTCTCACCTGGTCAACTTTGTTTTAAACACTTTAGAACTCCACGAATTCATCGGTTCTACCAGATATCTGAAGAAATCCTGTTTTCCTGTCTGATGATGAGTCAAATGAGTCAGTTAGAAACACTTTTCTTACTTTGTGTCTGATGGTCCAGATTCACTGAAGTGTAGAGGAGGATCCATGGACCGATCACTCTTCATAGACAGACAGCTGGGTCCTGGAGGTTCTGCTCTCCATCTGTGGTTCAGACCTCTGAAACACAAACATGTTGTAACTCAGATCACATCAGTCAGTGAGAAAATCTCTGATAAAACTATTTCAGAAGCTCTGAACACACAAACTGCTGCAGAGAATCAGAAGGTTTCATGTTTGTAACTGAGGTCAAATGAAAGCTTCTCTAGATGATGGACATCAGAGAGGAGACACCTGAAGAAGTTCAATCAGCTTCATCCACACTTTTCTTACTTTGTGTCTGAAGGTCCAGGTCCACTGAGGTCTGGAAGTCTGGACTGGGAGGAGTTGCTCCTCATAGGTGGATAGCTGTATCCTGGAGGTTCTGCTCTGTTCTCCTCGTCCTCCACAGAGACATCCATCTTCCTTTTCAGTCAGTCAGAGAGGAACCAGTTAGACTGACTGGGATTCACCAGTAAAGCATCAGGACTAAAGAGTCAGATGGAGAGTTTCACTCAGACAGGTTACCAAGTCAAGTGTTTTCTGGTGAGAACCAACAGGAAGTGAGACGGTGAGACGTGATGCAGCCATTTGTTCTGAAGGTGAATCAAAGCAACAGTCCACAGAGAGAAAAGCTCTCAGAGCCTCTGACAGGAGAACAAGAACAACATTCACTTCTAACTCACCTAATTCACTTTAGTTTGCTTTCTTCTCTTTTGTCCACATTAAATCCAGTCTGAACTGGTTTGGGTTTCCTTGGTTTGATCTGATGAGAACTGGTTCACCTGGTCGATGAGACTCCACCCCTTTCCATTAACAGGAAGCCAGGTGTGTTTACCTGTGCAGGTGGGAGTGAACTGTCACCTGCATTTAAAGCTGTGAAGTATTTCCTGTTTGTTTTATTTCTAAAGCAGCAGGTTGAAGATGCTAAAGAACAACGTGTTCTACAATCTGATCTTGGGACATCCAGGAGACCCTGGCTGGTAGAGCTGAGTGTTCTCCCTGGTGGGCATGTTAATAAGATTGGTTCAACGTGACATGATGGTCCAGATGAGTTGTAATAAATGCATTAAAGACTTTCTCCTGATGTTTAACAAGAAAATGTGGCTTCACTCTGATCAGAAGTTTAAGATGAAACAAGCTGGTTTTATCATTCTGCTCTGATCTGTTAAAACAGCTTTGAAACGCTTTTGCGTGTGATTTTAGATTAGAGTAGAATAGACTATAATAGTAAAAGGCTTTATTGATTCCACAGCGATCAGCGAGTTCACTCACTTAGGCAGCTCATAGGCTTAGAGAATATGAAAACATAACACAGGTAAAAACACACAGGTTATTATTGTTACCTTCAGCTATTAAAAAAATCACCACTAGAGGATGACAAATATCCCTAAAACTCAAAAGTCCAAAGATCAACAAGACAAGAGTTAGTTTAAACTTTATGAGTTCATTTATATGATTATAGAAAAATCAAAGTCAAGATGTGTATCAGATATTTAGATATTTTAACGTGGCTTTGACGTTCCTCACCAGCATCTATTCTAAATATTTCTCTCAGCTTGAATTTGACATCTTTATACATAAACTGTGGTCAGCGCTCCATGCATGCACCATCATGAATTATGGTAGCTATTTAGGGACAGACAAGCATTTTGTGTTTGCTTTTTGACCTGACTGAAACAAACAGTGGAGGGCAGCAGTTCGCTCTGAAAGCATGGAGTCTGCAGAAGAGAATAGCTCCACCGTAGCTGCACTCAGTTAGTTAGAATAACAAACAATGAAATGGAAAGACATGTCAAAGTTGCCAGGACGTCATCTTGTCCCCAGGGCTGCCAATTATCTGACCCTCTTCACCCACCCCCTGCTGTCGCAGACAGCAGATGGAGGGAAATGGTGTCCACAACAACAGCCCTGTGTCTAATTCTCAGCAGCTGCATATGATGAGCTCCCTGCTCACTATTAGCTGGACACCAGCCTCCAAGTGGTGTCCCAGACTCACCTCAAGTTGCTCATTCGTCTTTTCTTCATACCAGAGCTCCTGATCTGGTCTCAGTGTGTCAGTTTTAAAGTCCTTCTTTAATAATAATAATAATAATGATAATAAAAATATATAAGGAAGACTAATATTATTACATAGATACCAGAAAGCAGAATTTAAAGGCTGTTATTAAATGTTAAATTTGAAAGAAATGCATTAACATCACGAACCAGATTTTAATATTCATTTAGGACAAATTGATAAATAGACAAGAGGAGCTCATTATGGGGTGGTGACTTTAGTTCTGAATGTTCACGCGGAAAACTACGAACATGAATGAGTTCAGTCTGAATCTCTTCACTCTGGCGGTGTTAGTAGAGTAACTCCAGTGTTTTAACACTTCTAATAGTGACTGACACACGTAAAGAATGGAAATAAACTCTGACTGCATCTAATCTGGATCTGATGGAGTCCAATGAAACCCTGCACAGGGAGTTTATTCATCACTAGAATAAACACATGCCACATGGTAGGAGTGAAAATGCTGAGCTGGCCCCAGCATCTCAAAGAGTTCCACTGCAAGGGAATATTTACCAGGAAAACAATCATTTGACTGATTTAACTCAATTGTGGTTTTCCAGCGTCAGTCTTTGAACACACAATGAGACCAGGGCGACACTCGGTCGCATAACATGCAACCCAAGTCACTGCATCAAGCTCAGAGTTCATGTCAGCATGCAGGTCATCAGCCACCATGTCACCATTTCTGAACTCACTTCCTTTTACTGTCTTTAAATATCCACAATCAATGCTTTTCGAAGGCAACCACTCCCACTGCTATGCTATCACCACTGCATGCTTTTGGGATGTTTGTGTGTTTTAAAGATTCTGTGTTTTGACCCAAACTGAAGAATTGGGCCAGTTACTAAACTGATGTTGGTTTCATGATGTGGTGTTTGGGTATCAAGTTGTGTTGTGGGTCCAGCTCTTTGAAGAGCTGATGATGATCGATAATGAGATGCTTCAGACAAATGCTCATGCCTCCTGTAATGAGCTCGGAAAACACAATATTGATGACTTGAAGTAGCAGCAGCAACAGTCTCCAGTCTGCATCGGCTTCTGGCGCTAAATCTCCAGATGTTAGTGCTACATTTCTCATCACACTCTATGTCTGAATAGCTTTTAGACCTATTGGATGACTCCTTTGCTCCTGTTTGATGCTGTTAGGACCATTATTTCATTCATATTCATAGTTGGATCAGTTTATTCTTTCAGTTGCTTCATTGTTGGAAATGATTTTGTATTCTGAGAGGCTCATTGCTGGTTCCCCTTGTGCCTCCCTCCAGAAAGTACTCTGGAACCGCCCCTGCTCTGTAGACGATCCAGGGTCAAAGAGGCCAGTCAGGAGCTCCTGGATCCTTCCTGATGGGAAAAACTGGCTTGCTCATCTGATTACAAATGTCTCTTTGTCTTCCTGAGCTCCAGAGATTTTTCTCTTTATTTCCAATGAGTTCAGAGCTTCTGAGACTCTGTAATGGATCAAAAAGGGGACCCTCCTTGGGTCAGCGAGTTCAGCTTTTATTCTGAAGGAACCGTTGTTGGTAGATAACGACAGATTTTTCCCAGCTTGATAGTTCTTAGCTTAAAAAGAGAAGTACAGATGGCCTGTCCATACTTCACTCAACATGCGGTGAACTCCAAGGGATCTTGAATAATCTTTAATACTGAACTTAAAATGGCTTTGGAACTGTTTTATTAATCTGGATGTTTTTGATTCTGGACGAATCAAGGCTGACAGAATTAGTAAAAACCACAGAGACTTGACACACTTCAGACGGGGAAGGTTCTGATTGGATCAGCAACAGCAATGTGTCATGTATCAGCGTCTCTAGTGACTAAAATAAGTCATTTACTTATTAAACCATATTAATCATAATATTGTGATTTCACAGATCAGTCACATTGTATTATTGACTAACAGTTGTTTTGATTAGCTTTATTGAAAATAGAGTTCTTTGATCTAATGAAAGAAAAGAGAAGAGTCTTCATGTTCTGTCTTCATTGCTGGAACGTAAACAGTTTAGAAGCAAATGTATGACCTTGAGGCTGTTTCATGCACTCTGGCACTGTGTCAAAGGGGAACTGTGGTTAGAGGATAATAACCTTGAGAAATGGCTCCTTCATCACGTTACAACTCCAAGAGAGAAGAGCTGCATCAGCATCTTTATTCAGAGCTCCACCTTTTTAGCACGGCCCCTCCCAGAGGCTTTTATGTTGAAAATCTCAGAGCTTATCAGAAAGCTTCTGGTTTCATCCGCATCACAACTTCTCCTAGAGCCAATCATATGGGCAGAAACCCTCCCAGTGAGTCCTGAGATGAACTGATCTTTCAGACAGAAACAAACCAACACAGAAAAGCCCGTTTCTAGAAGTAGATGGTAGCAGCTTGATGTTCTCAGGTGATTTAGTTTGAGCCTGGAGGAATTCAGTTCACATGTTGTAACATGGTTGGTTCCATGTAAAACAAACCCTTTTTATGATTGCTACTGATTTTGTGAATTCCTTCTCTGTTCTTGACTTTGGAAAAAACAAAACTGTCAACACTTCTAATCTAAGCTGCTACTGAAGAAGTTACATTTCCATCATAAATGATTAGCATGGAGTCAAAAGTACTTTTGAGGCTGCAATCAGAGTTGAACCTGGACTGGTTTTGCTGACAGACAACTGGCTTTGTAGCTCAGAACAAAAACCAGTCAGACCAGACTACAGCAGCTACAGGTTCAAAGATAGAGGCAGAAGGAAAACCTAGATAAAAACTAAACACTCAAGTATGTCTTCTCTAAATGATCACTCCTCCTAGTGCACTAAAGGAGCAGCTGGCTGTGGGCCAACATGCTGATAATATATCTGTTTCACTTGACAAGAGTAGGAAAAGCTTTAATAGAGGCTGCATTCCACTTCTGCTCCTAAACATGTTCTAAAAACACCCAGCATGCATTGCTGCAGGAGCGGAGAGCAGCTGGATTTAACCATGAAGCAGACCTCTGATCACCTTTGGTCTGTCAGATTAGCCTCAGAGGATGACATCATTCACATTTGTCATTACTACATCTCAGTGAAATGTTGTTATAAATAGTTAAAATGACATTGAACTGCAGATGTGAGAGGAATGAGGATGCAGAAAGGATGTTTTTTCATTGGTTCCAGAAGAAACTTGTTGTGGTTCCAGAGACGTCCTCCCACTCCACCCTTTGCTTCACTTCCAGCAGCAGCCAGACCTGTTGGACTGGAATCCAGTCAGAGGAGGTAAGACGTTAGAGAAGTTGTCCAACTACAGTCTGAAGGTTCAGATGTGTTTCATCTCTCAAAGCTTTTAGAAGACTAAATCATTTTACAGCATTACATTTATTACATCTTAGACATGCAAACCCTCAGGTTAGACACTTAGAATCAGTATTTTGCTGATTCAGCTTGTAGTCTAAAAGATGTGAGAGCAGGGGTGAAAGTCTAGGTGTTGTAGTTCTAGAAGCAGCTGTGATCAAACATGGCCAGGATGAAAACAAATGTGTGGCTCCTCCTGGACCTGTCCCAACTGGAGGACGTCCAGCAAACTGGAGGAAGTGAAAACAGTTAATTAATCTTTATTGAAACACACACTTGATGTGTGTGTGTCCAGGATCAGTTCATAACAACATTTATTCGATTTCTGTTCCTGTTTATTGGTGTCAATGAAAAAAACTCCACTTTGATTCTTTTCAGCGCCGGTGATCCAGACAGGATGAAGACAACATTCCAGATTTCCTAAATGGTTCCCGTGGAGAAGACTCCAGGATGAAGATGAACTCTTCTGTGCTCCAATAATATTTTCATATTGATGAACTGAAGTGATCAGAACAATAAATCCTAGCCGTTACTCAGGTTCATCACATTATTACTGGAGTTTCACACATGATGTTCATCTAACAGAGTTCCACCGTAAATATAAAAGCAAGAAGATTCAATCTGAGTCTAGAGATAAAACAGAAAACATTCAACAGCTTTTCTGCTTTTAACATCAACTGATCATCAGATCACAGA